GTCCGCAGATATACCACTGTGCCACTGGGAGACCAAGAAGCATGGAAGTCTCCAAATGACACGCAGAGGTATCCAGGAACCGTTTAGAACCACCTTGGTAGATATTGCGCAGCAAGCCGAGTACAATATTATGTGATCTGTAGCTGTTCCTGTCTGCTCATCCTACTGCTGACTATCGTAATGCTTCAATCTTCTCTACCGAATCGCAGGTGAAATCGTTCTTATTTCAATTTAAAGCTAAACATAAAAAGGTTATAGCTGAAGCATAATAGGTTGGCAACTGCTTAATAAATGATGCTAAGAATGTGGCTTTATTGATATATATAGTGAATTTACTCCCAGCTAGTACTGGCTAGTATGGAGACTTGAGGATGCTGTATTTCACTCAAAAATTTATCAATTAACAAACGAAAACTTGTCTCGAAAAGCTACGTTCAAAACTACCCTCTTTGGGAGTTTCCGGATCGAAGTTATCTTAAATATTCAACAAATTGTAGTGTAAACACATTCCTTGGCTCCCGAGGGACGTTTTAATAATGTGAACTAATATAGTGATAATTATATTTATTTATAATTTAGACAAGGGAATAATTAAACACAGTAGGATATTGATGTTATCTATAATACTTAAATAGTAATCTTAGTACCTCAATAACTAACAACGTAGAGAGATTAATTGGACCAGATTTATAGAAGTTTTCTGTAACTATGATCTTAGGCGGAAAAATCAAGTTAATGACGTCAGAAATATATCACTTCTGATTGGTTAACGAGACTTAAGTTGACAGTAATATTTTACAAAATGGTTTTATGATGCTCTACTGCATCTATATGTTTCTCGTGAGAACTGTTCTTGACTATTCAATAAATCCTGTGATTACATACGTATATGGATTACTTTCGTCACACTAAAATAATAAAATTACTTGATATTTCGAAATTGGACTCACAAATATAACAAAACTTTCTTCATGTTAGGCTTAACAAAACACTATGGTCTTAGAACTCTAAAAGATAAACAGAAACCTAAAAAAAAATGCCAGAAATTAAATTTTCTTACTACATTTAACAAGTATAATTTTTCATATTTTTATGAATAACTTCAACAATACGTGTTTAGTAATCAGACTGAAACCATTTTTAAAAAATTCAATCTCCATTATTGTGTTTCATCTTTATATATTTGTATGTAAAACACGTCTGTTGTTACCTTAATTTTTCAGTCAACTGAAAGTTACTGATTAATTGGGAATGATACATTTACTTTTTCAACAGTGGTACACAAATAATAAAAATACAAATCAGTGTCTCAATAGTGCATCCGTACTTACATGAAAATTACGTTTATATGTGTAAGTTATATTCTAATATCATTTATACAAACACACACAAATAAATATATGTTAATCGTAATAGTTACTTCTGCGTCTACATGAAAATGAAAATTCATAACAAAATTGCTAGAATATAATTGAAAGACATATGGGGTAGATCCTTTTTTTTATAATTTATAACCTCTTTAGTCAAGAACTTTTTTTTTATAATTTATAAACAATTTTGATTGTCAAGAACCTTTCTTTATAATTAATAACCTTCTTAGTGAAGAACCTTTTAAATAATTTATAAATTATTTTGATTGTCAAGAACCTTTTTTTATAATTTATTAATTATTTTCATTGTCAAGAACCTTTCTTTATAATTAATAACCTTCTTAGTGAAGAACCTTTTAAATAATTTATAAATTATTTTGATTGTCAAGAACCTTTCTTTATAGATTAGACACTTTCTTCATGGTTAACCTTTGGGACACACTCCGTTCGATCACTCGTACCTTTTTTTTTTGTAACATATTTAATTTAGAAAATTCTCAAAGGAAGTTAATTTCAGTTATACTTCATTTCTGGTCTGCCAATAGAAATTGTCCGTGTCGACAGAGAAACACTGTTTCTAATTTTAAACGCCACCCAAAAGTTATGTCTGTTATTACCCAAAATTTTCAATCAACTGAAAGCTACTGTTTAGCTGAGAATAATACATTTACCTCTTTAACAATGGTACACAAGGATTAAAAATACAAATCAGTGTCTCAACAGTGCCTCCGTACTTGTATCAAAATTACGTAATAAACACTATACACTTTCCGATAAATAATCCACATTTTAACCATGTTAAGGTTCTATAAAAAAAGCTCCTAAAAAGAGTAAATTATTGTATTTTTTTATATAAACAAGAAACAACTTACAAATAAACAGTTGACCAGAAAAATATAACTTCACAAAAACGTATTCAGTGATTAATTTAGGTTTCAAACAACAACAACAACAACAAAGAAAAAAAAGGACAAGCAATGCGTTGATGATTTATTGTTTATAATAGGAAGGGATAATTTAATAAAACATACATAAAGGAAGCCTTGTGTAACATAATATTACAAGGCTCACGTTCATGATTGTAACAGTTCTTTAAGTTATGAATATTAATAAACCTTAGCCACATTAATGAATTCAAATAAATAAAGATACACATGTTAAAACGTTCTATGAACACTCTTTTTTATTATATATATATATAAAAAAATAAGATGTATGATTTACTTAATACACATTAAAGTTAAAAGCGCATCAATTCTTCTTCAGTTATGTACCTTTTAATTTACTCATCTTTGTAGGGACTTGTGGGGACAAAAGAGGGCGTTGTGTAAAAACCAGGGAAGAGCATGCAAAAAAAGAGAAGAGGTTAAAAGTTAGTCAACAAAGATCATACCAAGATATGAGGTGAAAATTGTCTTCATCACACGAAAAAGCAAAGCTCAAGAAGCTGTTTTTTTTTTTGTGCGCATGACATAATTCAAACATCCATTATCATCCCATATAATCGATCCCATGCACTTACAATCACATCGTGTAATAAAAATACAAACTGTGGCATTCATATTACAAACACAGGCCTATTAAATTCGTTTAAGCTTATATCAGCAATCCAACCGTTAATGTGAAAACAAAATGATTATGTAAGATATCTTCAGAATAAAATACGTAAAGATCAAGAACTGATTACATCTAATAATAGAAAAACAAAATCAAAATTCTGAAAAACATTGCTAAATCAACATGATATTATACTACAGGACGTTACCATCCTCATCAGTCTCCTTCTCTTCTTGCTCTGTACTTTTACTCTGCATAGTTTTTAGTTTCTTCCGCTTAGCTGCTGCTCTCCCCCTGGCTGTAGAATGTCGACATAAAAGAATAAAATAACTTTGGTTTGAGGTAGAAATTTGAACATTTTAAAACCCTGAAATTTTTCAAAAAAATAAAAAAATAAAATCTGAGATTGCGTGCAGTTTTAGAACCCTTGTTACTGAGAAAAGAAGTGTTTTTTTTTAATTAGGGTTATCTAGGCAGAGTCATACATAACATCGAACTGATAGACCAGAAGGAAAGCGCCTGGTTTAAAAAACAGAATAATGGGATTTGACTGTCACTCTTAAAATGCCCCCAAAAAGTGTTGAGCAAGTATTTTTGTGGAAACTGGAAGGAAACAGTTATTCTCAGATTCACAGTCCAAGGAAGTTAACCACTTTAGTATTGTTTGTTTTTGAATTTCGCGCAAAGCTACACGAGGGCTATCTGCGCTAGCCGTCCCTAATTTAGCAGTGTAAGACTAGAGGGAAGGCAGCTAGTCATCACCACCCACCGCCAACTCTTGGGCTACTCTTTTAACTAATCCACTAATAGTGGGATTGACCGTCACATTATAACGCCCCCACGGCTGAAAGGGCAAGCATGTTTGGTGTGACGGGGATTCGAACCCGCGACCCTCAGATTGCGAGTCGAGTGCCTTAACCACCTGGCCATGCCGGGCCCCACTTTAGTACGTATCTTAACACCAAACAATACAGAGGTATAGGTTCGAAACTCGCCGGGCCTTAGTTTTTTCTTCTACAAAAAACAAAACAAACATATTTAAATATCCTGATAATTCATAATTGACAAGCGATAAATTCAACATAAATAAATAAATACCCTATAACCCGAGCACTTTCGAAAGGTGGACCTTTTTTCTTCAGGGGCAAACTGTTTGAAGAAGAAAAGTCCACCTTTCGAAAGCGCTCGGGTTATCGGCCTTATATTCATTTCTGTCAAGACTTTTTGAACCTACGTGTTTTTCTGACGCGATGAATTCAACAAATATCTTATGTCGATCAGTAAATCCAGTTCTATAACATTTTCACACAGTTCAAATGTAAAACCTTTCACACAATTCAAATGTAAAACCTCACCTTCAATTATATGTAATTTCTCTTCTTCGGTAGTCCTTTCTTCTGCTAGTATCACTTCCTCTGTAACAACAGTCGTCAAAACAAAATGATAATTTTTTTTATATGATTCAGTGTAGAAGAATGAAGCGTTTACAGCGTTTTACAGCAAAGTAAACGTAAATCTCTCTCTGAAAAAAATACTTAATACTTTCATACTAGGTTATCAATTTAAAAATGAACCAAACAATTTAATAATAACTACAAGAACTTTACTTTCAGCTATGTACCTGCTCGACATATCCATTCAACATAACCATTTAATTCTCTCTCCAGTTGTTGTCGACGTCTGAGTTTTAAAAAAGCTTGTCGATTTTCGACCCTTTCTCTCTCTTTAGCGAATTCCCTGTGAATATAGAAATCAGCTAGGTTTTATGAAAGCTATACCTTCACACAAAGTTAAATGTTGAAATATAAATTTGTTTTCAAAACTCTCCCAACGTCCCGTTTATCGACTTCAAAAGTGTTATTAACATATACTTAAGTATGAAAGACAAATGTCAGCATTAAATAAAAAATAATACAAGAAGTATTCTCGATTCATTAATGCGCTCTTAAAATGTTTCTAGTTTTTAAAATAGAAACACTTTTTGATTAAAAAAACAAACAAGAATATTTATGCCTTTTGGTTTCGTTGTTTTTAAACGCAAATATTTATAATGGGATACCTGTACTCTGCCCACCACAGGTGTCGAAACCCGAATTTTACTGTCTGGTATTGTAAGCCTGCAGAATTTCCACTGAGCCACTGAGGTGTGAGGGGCATATTTATGCTTCTCTTGTTACCCACACACAAATTCTTAGAAATAACTTTAAACTGTAGATTATCGTTGATTAAGAATTTAGAAAAGATAAATTATTTTCAATATATTATCGTTCTACAACAGCTGAGCTACAACCGTCTGCTAGAAGAAAGCAAAGTCACAAAATCTCTAAAACTTGAGTTTTTTTTATTATACATCACCATGGTAACAAACATTTTTATACATCACCATGGTAACAAGCAGTTTATAAATTACCATGGTAACAAGCAGTTTTATACGTCACCATGCTAACAAACAAATTTTTATACATCACCATGGTAACAAAGCAGTTTTTATACATCACCATGGTAAACAAACATTTTTTTATGCACCACCATGGTAACGAACATTTTTATACATCACCATGATAACAAACATTGTTATACATCACCATGGTAACGAGCAATTTTATACATCACTATGGTAACAAGTAATTGAAAAATACGCACGTTAAATACGTCTTCTTTAGTTTTAACACTCTTACTGAAGCCTTCTTCGGGCAACAGTGGGGATATAAAAATGGATACGGCAAATAAATTATGGATGTAATATTTTCTGGAAAATCCCTGAGGGACTATATTTAAGAACGTAATGTTTAAAAATTTAATAGGCCTAATACTAATGTCCAGGAACGTCGAGAGCCACCACGGGCCCCGGGGCAAACATCCTCGCCGGGCCCTCTTTCTCTCTCTCTCTTTTTTAACATTTTCAAGAATTTATTGAAAAGACTATCCCTAATTAGGACAGCAAGGAGCTTATAAACCAGACAAAATCGTAGCAGCAGCCGTTTTTACCTCTCAGTATAAGCGTACAAACATTAATAAAGTAACAACAAATATCTATTAAATCTACAAATACATATTAACAAATACATATTAATTATTACTCAAATTATTATTTCAGTCGTTCTTAATGTATCAAGCATCTATATGCAAAGAAAAGCCAAAAACTATGATTTTTTATCATTAAATGAAGATATAGCCTAAAGATGCTTTGCGGGCTCTACGGCATAACCAGGTTTCATTCGCCCGGGCCTTTGGGCAGTTGCCCCCCCCCCTGTCGGCGGGCCTTCTAATGTCTTATAAAAATATAATTGAAATCCGCGTCTCTCCAGAACACTACACGTGTCTAACTAAGTTGCCTATATTATGAGTTAAAAACAAACAATAATGTTTAAATTACTACTTTGCTTCTTTTAAATCATTTAAACAACAACCTGTTGTAAAACTGTATGATCTGACGAATAGCGCTAGCTCGAAACGTCATCCTTCTTTAAATAAAATATATAAAACATGGCGATTGTTCAACCTATTATTTAATTTTGATATTTTCGTCGCCTATGCGGTTTTAACTATATTTGTCTTTTGAATCATTTGCCTAACAATATTATTGATCAAAAGTTATATTAACGTGTTATGTAATTCCAACTGCCACGTTAACTATTTACTTGCGATTTTCGTGGCTATGGTAACAAACAATATTATTGCGCACGAGATATCTTTATATCTGTATGTATATATATAATAACACTATACTCAATAACTACGCTTTATATGGGTTGCTATCGTTACAAACACTATTATTGGGTAAATTAAAATATATTCCTAGAAATTAATACTAACTTTCAATTAGAGCAAGGTAACTGCTTAGATCAAAAATAAAAATCTACCCGGTAGTGACTACAACTAATTATATATATTGTTTTTCATAAAGATTAAGAGGCATTAGGCTTAACATTTGCGATAAATAAAGTATTTGGTGAGATGATTTTTACCATAGTCTTATTAATTTATCATTTCCAAATCAAAGTCGTGTAAAAATTTCATTTCAGGTTTATCTTTTATTTCCCACACAAGACACTATCTAAAAGGCCTTTCGTTTAATAATGTAATTCTTCAGTTGGGTTGAACAATGAGAAACCAAAGATTCTCTAAACGCTATCTATTTTTGTAGCACAGTACTTTAAAAATTACAATTTAAATGCCGATAGATGGCAAAGTATTAAAAACCAATAGGCCTACAATTTGTGATAAAAATCATGTAAATTGCAGATTTTTTTGTAACACTTTCTTCTACATTTGTTATATTGGTTTCTAATGCATAACCGACGAGTTTTGGCATTGACGAAAGGTCTCTTAGGCATGACTTGTGGGAGACAAAAGATAAATCTGAAATGCTGTTCTTATATGTTTCTCTGATTTTGAATCCGAAATGAACAAATTATGAGGAACGTGGAAAAAACGTGTGTAATTTATGTGACTTTTATCATAAAATTTATGTTGCTATTGTTTCGTCAGCTTTTTGGCGTATAAATTATGAAGTACAACACATTTTTACGTCAGGTGGTTACCCTTGCTGCTAAACATAAGGCCGATAATATCTCAGATATAATTATAGTTGTTACAAAACACTAGCATTAAGCCTATTCTCTTTTTAGTAGTTATATATTCTTTATCCAGTCCCTTAGGGTTTTCAGGAAAAAGAAAAACCCTAAAGGTCTCGGTAAAATAATGTAGTGTTAAAATATAATAGGCTTAATACTAATGTCTTATGACAAGTATAATTAATGATAATCACGCTTCGCCAGCTTAAAAATGCGTTCACGCTCTAGCAATTGTTGTTGTAACATTTGGCCTATTATAAATAGTATTCCGACTACAATTGTGTTTTCTCAAAACCAGCCAGCCTGATGACCTCAGGATTTAGCGAAACGCGATTACAATTGATATGGTGTACATAGTGTGGTTGAAATACTATTACACAGACTTCTTCTTCTTGAAAAACCTTAAGAAACTGAATATAGATCGTAGTATTAAAAATATAGTAGGCCTAATACTCATGCCTTATGACAACAATATTTAATTATAATCATGCTTCATAAAATGCATTCACACCATAACAATACCTCACATGGTTCAGTCAGCTTTAGGTTAGCCCTAAATCCATATGCTAAGCTAACAATACAAAACAAACTCAATAAATAAAAATATAATAATAGTAAAAATAATTAGAAATTATAAAAGAAGATAAGTTAAACATACCGTTAGTGAATGTAACATTAAAAAAAATATAGTATACATATTATCACGCAATGTTTAATCGTAGTATACTCACCCACTGAGGACCCCCAGAACTAAGTTGAGCATAAAAAATGATCCGATTATGATCAAAGGAACGAAGTAAATCCAGTTGAATGTGCTTCCTAATGCGTCATTAGTCTGTAAAAAAACAAACCAAAACCTAAATAAAATACATTTACTGATTGAAAGTAATACTCTTAATATAAGCAGGATTGAAATTGATTACGTCATAAAAACTCGAGGCTATTGGGTGATAGAAGAAACTTGATTATATTTTTTTGGAAAGGATTAATATTCGTCCATTTGTTGTTTAAGACTGAAAACGTAATTTAACCAAGATTTGATGGAATAATTCGAGACTTTTTTTTTTACCGACTTGCATTACTCTTCAACGAGGTTAAACTCTGAAGGTTCTAATTAAAATCATGATCGTACATTAAAGTTTTATGAAGGTATATTCTATTAGTTAGTTCACGATAATCAATACTTCGATTTTCTCTGATAATCTTATTTATAATATCAACCGTGGAGTCTGTCCGAGCGTTGTCTGTCTCCCGTTTGAAAAGCTGCAAACGCAGGCAAACCTCAACATTCACTTTCGAAATGACGGGAGAACAGGCATGAATAATGTAGATGCCAAATTTTAGTTCACAAGCAGAAAATTCTTTGCTAATTTTTTTGTTAGGAATTATTCATACTATCTTTCACATTTCAAAATGTTTCGTAACTTAAAAAATAAAAATGTAGATTTACCGTATGTTATTGTTGAGCGGCTCTTAAAATGACTGAAATGCTCAACAATTACTTTTCGCGGTGATCGGTTTGGCTCTGGGTGAAACCAAGAGTAAAACACAATTTGCCTTTTTATAGCCCTAAAAATAATTTAAATTGATATATTAACTTAAACTTCTCCCATCACTAGGGATGGTTACTTTTGCTAAACTAACTTAAACTTTCCCGTCAATGGGGACGGGTACTTTTGGTAGATTAACTGAAACGTTTTCGATCACTGGGGACGGATACTTTTGATAGATTAACTTAAACTTCCCGTCACAGAAGACGGGTACTTTTGATATATTAACTTAAACTTCTTCGATCACTGGGGACGGGTACTTTTGCTAAATTAACTTAAACTTTCCAGTCAGTGAAGGGATTTCGAATTCCGTATTTTGACGTTGTAAATTCATAAACTAACCGCTGTCTCTTCAGGGGACTGGAGGTGTTGTAGTCAAATAATATCATTCAGCAGTTTGTAAAACGTAGTAGTTATCTACTTTAAAAAAAATGTACGAAATATAACAAGACTCTTACCCAGTATAACATTGAGGTCCAGCCTTCTTGTGTGATACACTGGAACACTGTTAGCATGGCAAAAAATATGTTATCAAAGTTGCTGATACCAAAGTTAGGACCCTTCCATTCCTCCTTGCAGGTCGCTAACTGAAGATCACACGTGTGGGCTCCAAAAGGAGCGCTCTCAGGGTCTAGCGTTTTGTAACAAGGGACTTCCTGCTCGCCCTCAGGAACAATTTCCCCTAAAAGCAGTAGAAAACGTAGGGGCTTCTGTTAATAACCGGTTTCAGGTTAAGTCCTACATTATTTTACTCTAACTGTTTACACGTTAAGCCCTACATCATATAACACTAACTGTTTCCTGGTTAAGTCCTATATCATATAACACTAACTGTTTTCAGGTTAAGTTCTACATTATATGGTGTTAGTATAAATAGAAATACTTTACTTTAAGCCACAACTTGCTGTAGCTAATAATGCTTGGAGACGGCTTGAATGGGTAATGAAGAATTATTAGTCTCAAAGTGGGTTCCTCGTCATCGAATTTGCTGTAGCTAAGACCTGATAGATGTGACTTGTTAACACCCAGAGACAGTACGTGTGGTTTGTTAACACCCAGAGTCAATAAGTGTGACTTGTTAACACCCAGAATCAGTAGGTGTAACTTGCTATCACCCAGAGTCAGTACGTGTGACTTGTTAACACTCAGAGTCAATAAGTGTGACTTGTTAACACCCTAAGTCAGTAAGTGTGACTTGCTATCACCCAGAATCAGTAGATGTAACTTTTATCACCCACGGTCAGTAGATGTAACTTTCTATCATCCAGACTCAGTAGATTTTAATCTAGGTTCAGCAAATGTAACTTTTATCACCCAGACTCAGTAGATGTAACTTTCTATCATCCAGACTCAGTAGATGTAACCTGCTTTTAATCTAGGTTCAACAAATGTAACTTTTATCACCCACGGTCAGTAGATGTAACTTTCTATCATCCACGAGTCAGTAGATGTAACTTTCTATCATCCAGACTCAGTAGATGTAACCTGCTTTTAATCTAGGTTCAGTAGATGTAAGTTTCTATCACCCAGAGTCAGTAGATGTAAGTTTCTAACACCCAGAGTCAGTAAATGTAACTGTCTCTCACACAGAGCCAGTACTTATTACTCACTGTCTTTCAAAGACATAGAATGTAGCTATTTTATATCGTAGTGACAGTCCCCGTGGTTTATTCACTTTGTGTTTCAGTAGAGGGAGCTACTGTAGTTATTTTTCTATTGTTATTTATGGTGTTTTTCTTGTTATTGTTCTATTGTTTAACAGTGTCAGAAGATAAGAATTATTCTTACCCAGTGTTTCAATAGAGGGAGTTATTGTAATTATTTTACAGTTATTATACTGTTTACCGGTGTCATAATATGAGAATTATAGTTACCCAATGTTCCAATAGATGGAGAAACTATAATTACTTTTGGTTTTAATTTTTTTTTATCAGTGTCGACAGATCTATGTCGATGTAATGCATCGATAACATTGAAATATACTGAAATGTCACTTTTGGATATAAAATATTAAACATATCAACTTTGTTTTTGCTGAATACTTCACTATTTATGTAAATACAGGTGAAGAAAAATTATAATGTTCATATATCAAATAGTGGTGTATTTAGCCCTCAAGAAATATTCCATTCCAGTACTTATCACCCATCCTTCTCTACTTAAAGATAAAACTGCTATAAGGCATTATATAGAGAGATTTTATTGGGCGATTTATATACATAGTCTGGGGCATGTTGATATAGGGTTTTCCTTTCTAAAACAGATAAATTGTTTTAAGACAAATCGTGTTACGTGTCAGTCACGAGACCATGTGCTTTTGCGCTCTTTCGCCCAATCAGTCTAGAAAAGAAAAGTCATGGATATATATCCTTGAAAATTTCAGTATATGACGCTATTCATAATTCATGCTGTTATCAGTGTATTAAACCAGGTTGAAGTTTACTTTCATGTTTGTTATGCACTCAAAGGTGGAAGAGATAAAATACGACTTTGATAACACTTAGGAATTATTTTGCTTGCGAAGTTTACTGATCATGTAAGACAGAAATGTTTGATAAAAAGAATCAAAACATATTGAAACTTTCTATCGAGAATAAGTATATGAATGATTATACTGTGATCGAGAGTAAGTTGATGTATTGTGGTTTCAGTTTTGCTAGTTTAATGTTTATAAAAGCAGGGGGCAAACGTTCAGTGATTAATCAACGTTTTCATAGAATAAAACATTAAGTTTCGTTTTCAAAGAGATACGAGTGCAAATCGTTTATAAAACCTCTGATATTTTGTGTATTAATGCATCGTCTTTCTCAGTCTCGTGATTCAGTGTTTTGAGAATAAGGTTTACAGCTTAAACAAAAATATTGTACTTACCATTTTCTTCTAAACTGTAGCATGTTTTATGAAAAACACCATTGTAAAATTCAAGGCCAATAATTGCAAAAATGACGATGGCAAACAGCACCAAAAGACCGATTTGAAGTAGAGGTGCCATTGCTTTTATAATAGATTTTAAGACTACCTGAAGACCTGAAAGAGACAACAATGTACAAATTAGTAAACAGTTTTCTCATAAAAATATTTATAGCTGACGCAATTTTAAGTTTAAAAAATATACAAGATTTGTTTGTTTTTTGGCTACCCAGCTTGTTGGTTTGTTTCGGATATTCGTATAAAGTTACACAAGGCCTAGCTACGTGAGATAACCTTAATTTTGCACTGATAGACTAGTGTAAAGGCCAACAGTCTTTACTGCTAACGTTTGAACTATTTGGACTACTTTAATCAAATAGTGAGATTTGACCGTTACTCTTATAACACACCCACGGCCCCCAAATAATGGAACGTGGTTTTGTTGCAAGGCGACGCGAACTATGGCACGCTAAACAAGAACCCACAACCAATCTTTATGGCTACATTTGTAGAGTATACTTTTCTAGAAAGCTTAAAAGTTGGATGGTACTTAAAGACCTTAAGTAATAACACAAGAAATTGTATCACACAACATCTCCAAACCTAGTTGGTAAATCCATTATTTAACGTCTTAGAGTTGCCACTTGAAATGAAGTGTAGATATTAGACTCGTATGTTATTCACACACACAAGAACTATTTGTTATTTAACGTCTTCGAGTTGCCACTTGAAATGAAGTGTAGATATTAGACTCGTATGTTATTCACACACACAAGAACTATTTGTTCTTCTTATAAGACTGGATAACTAGCACGTTCTTGAACAGCATGATTAATATGTTGTTTGTTATTAAGCACAAAGCTACACAAAGGGCTATTTGTGCTCTGCCCACCACGAGTATCTAAACCCATTTTCTAGTAGTATAAGTCCGCAAACATAACCACGGTGCCACTGGAGGTCCATGATTAAGAAGCACTCAAATTTGATATTGAAAGATCTAGAATCTGGATTTTGTAAAAGTCCCCCCCCCCGCCGCCCCCTTTAACCGACATGTTACTACAGTAATCGTATAATTGTTCTTTGTTTGTTTGTTTTTTCATAATCCCTTTTACGGACAAACCTGGTGTTCCAAACAAACAGGAAAAGATAGGCTGAGATTAGTTCCGGGTTACCACGGTAACTGTGACGTACATCTTTGTGCTGCTACCTGTCATCACACGTGAAATTTAGCTCACATAAAACTGACTTGGTTAGCCGGGATCCCTCGCCCAACCTTAGGCATTTAGTGTTAAGAAAAATAGTTAGAATGTTTAAATGCGGTATATAAAGTGGCCCGTATGAGTGTCTTTTCTTTTTTTTTTTGACAAAATTTTTGAAATCCCGAAAACACACCCTCCACAATTATTCAAGACGGTCTCCTCTTTCATATCTAACTTTATTTATTTGTTGAATTTCGCGAGGGTTATCTATACGAGGGTTATCTGCACTAGCCGTCCCTAATTTGGACTAGGGAGATGGCGGCTAGTCGACACTACTCACCGCTAACACTTGGGCTACCCTTTTTGCCAGTGAATACTCGGATTGACCAGTATAACGCCCCCATGGCCGAAAGAGGGAGCATATTCAGTAGCGGGATTCGAACCCGCGACCTCAGGTTGCAAGTCAAGCGTCCTAACTACAACCAACATTCTTATCCGCATGATAATGTAACGTTTTACTTATCAGTTTATTTGTAATTAAGCACAAAGCTACACAATGGGCTATCTGTGCTCTCCCCACCAGGGGTTCGAAACTCGGATTGAGGGACCAACCGACGTAGTCTACAAATTTCCTGTTTGTTATGACATTTACTAAAATGACCAGTTTTTATATAGCTTTCAAAATGTTGAAAGAACCGAGCTTGCACAGTTTCTCTCAATCCCAGCGCCATCTATAGGAGCCTGAATAGCATTTCTGTTCAACCGCCATTTATACATAAAATACATAACGATTGTTTGTTTGTTTTTGAATTTGGCGCAAAGCTACACTAGAGCTATCTGCGCTAGCCGTCCCTAATTTAGCAGTGTAAGACTAGAGGGAAGGCAGCTAGTCATCACCACCCACCGCCAACTCTTAGGCTACTCTTTCAACTAATCCACTAATAGTGGGATTGACCGTTACATTATAACGCCCCCACGGCTGAAAGGGCGAGCATGTTTGGTGGGACAGGGATTTGAACCCGCGACCCTCAGATTGCGAGTCGAGCGCCTTATCCACCTGGCCATGCCAGGCATACATAACAAAGAGATGAAAATGTGCCATATTATGTTTAGTCAGGTGTGTTAACCATACGAAAATGGTATTCTCGTATTTTGATTGTCTATAATTTCTCATATCAGATTGTTTAAATTCACGCTATAATTATTAACATGCGACATTACTTTAGTATAATAATAATAATAAAACAAGTCAGAAATAAATCACAAAACAAGAAATTAGATAAATACCCCTAAGTGGTTTAGAAAGGTTTGCCATTCGAATTTTTTCTGGTTATGAATTTGTATTATTTTTTTTGGGGGGAGGGGGTTCGGTAGTCGTAAGTATAGGTAATTACTTACTTCATATGAAGTTCAGTGTTAGCTCAGATACAAAAAAACAAAACAAGAAAAACGAAACGAAAACCCAATTTATTTATTTATTGGTTTCACTCACTTGGTATACCAGATACGAGCTTCAGAGGTCTGAGTACCCTTATAGCCCTCAGTGTTCTCAAGTCGACTTCTAACTTATCAGACGCGTAGGAAGTAATGAATCTGTAAAAAAAAAAAGGAAAATAAAAACCAGGGACCAGACTTACATCTACGTTTAAGATTCCTAGAAGATGAGCTATCTAAGAAGTGGAAGAACGAAGAGTAAAACATCCATCAAGAATCGATATCATCGTCTGACAGTCTCTTAATACATTTAGTTACACTGAAAACAGAAATAATTCCGAATCTTTTTTTCGATTTTATTTGTTTTTTGTTCATTGTAAGAAATCGTGTTTACTCTCGGTATTACTCGCTATAACTTAGCAAAATAAGACTGCCAAGCCATTCTTTTTTTTTCTAGTATTTAATTGTTTGTTGTTATTGGGTTATCCGTACTTGGCACAGGTATCGAAATCCGGATTTTAGCGTTACAATCCGTCGTATTTACTGTTGAGCCACTAGAGAGTTATGCACTACGACTTTTTTTTCCCTCCAACGTTCTGGAGTTGAAAAATAGACGACAGATGGCAGCACTGCTTTGAATTAATTTTGAAGAGATAATGGCGAAACAGAGTTGGAAAGAAAGAGGAGGTTATTCCTTTAAAGTCCATTAGCGGTCTCTACGCATGAAAACAAATGTGGACGATTTTGTGTGTGTGTGTGTGTGTGTGCATATAGAGCTGAATGACGTACATAACTGTGCTGCAATTAATTTCTATACGAATCAGACTATGAATATTTTTCCGTGCATTTTGTGCTCAAACAAACAAAAGATAAAACATGAACTTCCTATTAAAAAGAATACTTATAACAGATAATATACACTCATGCTACGGCAGTACGCTTATATCTGCCTCATTATTCTGATTTCGATTTTCTGATAACACGTGTGCATTGGGAAGTTAGACACGTGTCGGTATAGAAAACGTGAACGTTACATACAACAGCCAATTGTTCGGCTCTCAAAACAAAGAATATATAAACACTATGTGAGGAAAAATATCACGAGTATGTTATATTATTTACTATAGGAAGTAAGCAAACAGAATTTCCTATTGGTTATAATGTAAAGATGTTTTCTCTATTATTATTACGCGAGATTTAGCCATGGTAGTAAGAAAAAAGAACCATCTAAGATTTGTTTCATCGGGAGGACAATTAACAGACAAATGAACTGTTTTGCTCATTTAAATTTCCGTTAAATTCTATCGATAAACAGATTTTCTTTTACGGCTCTTACGAGAACTTTAAATTGACCTTTTCTTAGTAGTTCATTACATTACCTTGGCGCAAAATTGTTTGTTAGTTTTAGAGCAAAGCCACATTGGGCTCTCTGCTGTGTCCACGGCGGGAAATCGAACCCCGGGTTTTAGTGTTGTAAGTCCGTAATCTGAACGCTGTCCTCCCGTGGACCACATAGCGCGTGAATCCTTAATGCTTGAAAATGTTCTTTTATGTCATTTTCGAGTCAACTAGTGGGCATAGAATAAAACATTTAAACCGATTTACAAAATTTGAAGTCATTAAAACAGCTTTTTGATGTATAAGCCTGAAAAATAATTGTTATCTACAACTAGGTTTATAGATACCTGAAAAATAATTGTTATCTACAACCAGGTTTATAGATATCTGAAAAAATAATTGTTATCTACAACCAGGTTTATAGATACCTGAAAAAATAATTGTTATCTACAACCAGGTTTATAGATACCTGAAAAATAATTGTTATCTACAACCAGGTTTATAGATACCTGAAAAAATAATTGTTATCTACAACCAGGTTTATAGATACCTGAAAAAATAATTGTTATCTACAACCAAGTTTATAGATACCTGAAAAATAATTGTTATCTACAACCAGGTTTATAGATACCTGAAAAATAATTGTTATCTACAACCAGGTTTATAGATACCTGAAAAATAATTGTTATCTACAACCAGGTTTATAGATACCTGAAAAAATAATTGTTATCTACAACCAGGTTAATAGATACCTGAAAAATAATTGTTATCTACAACCAGGTTTATAGATACCTGAAAAATAATTGTTATCTACAACCAGGTTTATAGACACCTGAAAAAATAATTGTTATCTACAACCAGGTTTATAGATACCTGAAAAATAATTGTTAACTACAACCAGGTTTATAGATACCTGAAAAATAATTGTGACGAGATAACGTAAGTGATAACTTCTCATTCAAATTTATATCTCAACATTAAAACAATAAATAATAATCTGTTTGGTCACATTCCATTTTCTTGGATTTGGAATGTTTATTCCCTTGAAGTAGATATGGATAATATTGCTTTTAAAACTAATTGGAAAGGTTCACACCGTTAAAAACAGGGATCCGATACCAGTGGTGGGTACAGTGCAAGTAGCCTGTTTTGTAGCTTTACACTTAAAACAACAAACATTTTGGAAAGAAAAGTTTGATATTTCCTAGTTTTTATTGTTTGTTTGTTTGTAATTAAACATAAAGCTGCACGATGGGCTATTTATTCTGTGCCCACCACAGGTATTGAAACCAGAGTTTGTAGCTTTGTAAGCCTCCAGACGTCCCGCTGAGTCATTGGGGGCGGTTCTTTATGTAACAAAATAATGTGCGCTGATTACTTTGTATGCTTGATGAACAGATTTTTTTTAAACAAATTATAATATATACCAGTGAAGGTTTTTTTTATTATTATTAAATATCTCGCATACAAATTTGCCATTTGGGTTATGTTTGTTTGTTTGTTTGAAGTTAAGCACAAAGCTACACAATGGGCTATCTGTGCTCTGCCCACCACGGGTATCGAAACCCGGTTTCTAGCGATTAAGTCCGCAGACATACCGTTGTGCCACTGGGGGGAGGGGGGCTTTTGGTTATGAATAAGAGTGTCAAGAAATGTAATTTGATGTTGATGTTCAACTGTGTGTGTTTGTTGAATTGCGCATTAAGTTACTCGATGACTGTCTGGTATACCAGAAGGAAGGCAGATAGTACACAGTACCCACCGCCAACTCTCGGGTTACTCTAATAGAATAGTAGGATTTGACAATCGCTCCTGTACCTCCTCCACCCAAAGTTCCTGCACCCCTCCATCCAGAGCTCCTCCAACCTCTCCACCCAGAGTTCCTCCACCCCTCCACCCAGAGCTCCTCCACCCCTCCACCCAGAGCTCCTCCATCCCTCCACCCAGAGTTCCTCCACCCCTCCACCCAGAGCTCCTCCACCTCTCCACCCAGAGTTCCTACACCCCCTCCACCCAGAGCTCCTCCGCCCCCTACACCCAGATTTCCTGTCCTCCCTCTAAGCTTCTATCGATCAAACAAATCTTAAGTTATGTGGTAACGTATATAATAATGTGTATGCTTTCCAAACTTCCACTATTCGAAATAATTATCCTTCGATCTGAAGTACCTCTAATACACATACATATACACTCAAAAAATCCCCCTCTTATTCTCAACATTAATTAACCCAACATTTACATCAATCTTGTCTCTGAAAATTCGAAGAAACTTATTGGTTGAATCATCTGTGGCTTAATCTTGGTATTAAGCGTCATTCAAAGAAACGTATTGGTTGAATCATCTGTGGCTTAATCTTGGTATTAAGCGTCATTCAAAGAAACTTATTGGTTGAATCATCTGTGGCTTAATCTTGGTATTAAGCGCCTCGGTAATCAACTCGTTACGAATTATTTCTCGGACTTTATCCACCATAAGGAATCTTGTGCCTTCCTACTCGTAGCGTCAGCCATGTTGGATAATAGGATGTACAACTAACGCCATCTGTCCTCTATCTTTACCTGATATCATTAGCTTATGATACTACCCAAATTTATTTACAAATGTGGGTCTACATAGAATATTAAAAAACAAAGTGCTATATGCGCATGCGCAAAGTTTACCAGAGAAAATATTTTTAAAATACTTCGCAGGTATAAAAAATTAAAAACACAAATTGAAAAAAAAAATCCATACTTACCCCGTGACTACCACGATAAAGTCCATGATGTTCCAAATATTACGAAGGTATGATCCTTTATGTAGTATAAACCCTAACGCTAGAATCTTCAAGAGACTTTCTACGCAGAAAATACCTAGAAAATATGGCTCTGTGTTCTCCTGGCGGAAAAAAAAGAGATTCTGTTACTAAGAGGACACTAGTTACTTATAACTCAAACATACACAATTTCTTTTTTTTTTCCCAGTGTTTTTATTAAATATTGTT